GTTCTGCTGGAGAACAGATTATTAGAGCATAATAGATTATTATGCTGTGTTTTCAAGTAAATTCAGTATTGTGCAGATGGTCCTCCATACTGAAAGTCTCTTTTTCAAAGGAGAAGGATGGTTGTGTGAACTGCTCCTCCTGGAGAAGCACTTGGCAAAGTGCCTCATTCTATCCTTAGAAGGATCATAGAATATTCTGATTTGAAATGAACCCACAAATATTATCTACTCCTGGCTCCACACAGAACACCCAAAAATTCAAATTCCATGTCTGACAGTGCTGTCCAAACACTTTGTGAACTCCAGCAGCTTGAGGCCATGAGCAGTGCCCTGGGGAGCCTGTTCCATGCTGTCCCCCCCTCTAGTGAAGAATCTTTTCCTAATCCCCAATCTGACTGTCCCCTGATACAGTTCCATTCATTCCCTTGGGTCTTCCACTGTCACCAGAAAGTAGAGCTCAGCACTGCCCCTACACTCCCCTTGGGAGGCCACCATACGGTCTCCCCTCAGCCTCCTCTTCTCTGGGCTGAACAAACCAAGAGACCTCAGCTACCTCTCATATACCTTGCCTTCCAGACCTTTCACCATCTTTGTTAACTTCTTCTTGACATTGTGATTAAGGCCCACACTGTGATGATCATCAGTGGCTTTGTCGAAGTCTCCGACTACCTCCAAAATGCAAGGAATGGTGTTCAATGACCAGGCTGGAAAGGCAAAGCAGGGGAAGTAATGCATTCCATAGCTCTTCCTGCATCCAGGTGGAGATCCAAAAAGAAATGTTAAGTAATGTCTTTAACAGAGTGTAACAATTTAAAAGTAGGGCATATTTGTAACATAAATGTGTAAAATGACTTTTAATAACAAGTCCCTGACAGCTATTCAAGAGGTCCTACTTCACATTTTGACATTTACAGATCGAATTTGTGGATACATTAAAAATGTGTGGAACAATAAGATGCCCTTGATAGAAATAGAAATACATAACAAAAGTCTGTCATTTTGCACTCTTAATGCTTATTGTAAAATGTTGATTAGGTTTATGTGGCAAGGCTTTGGTAGCAGGGAGGGCTGCGGTGTGGTGTCTGTAAGAAGAGCCCAGAAGCTGACCCATGTTACCTAAGAGCCAAATCCATCCAGAGTGGATATGTTATATATTTTAATCCCTAATGAAAAAAATAAAACAGTGCAGATCGTTGCTCCTAGCCTACTGATAATGATCTACAGGACCCATTTTATGATGTGTCACAAGGATACATAAGCATCACATCAATCAACCTGTCCTGAAAAACTTTCAGTGTAATTTTTGACAGTCACAGTGAGCTCTCAGGACTCTAAGCTGATCTGGGGCTGAAATAGTCCTCCCCCTCTTCCCTTAAATGACCATTATTTTAGTGGCAGATATTTGTTTCAAACTCCCTTTGCCACGTGACAAAATTTCTGTTGCTGCAGGTTTCTGAGTAGCACTTGCATTTGCGGCAAAAAGACATCAGGGCTGGAGAAACACTGAAACCTGAAAGCCTTTTGAATGCCTTTTCCAAGCTACCTGTTAACTCACATTTTGATGTTATCTGCTAGTAGCGTGAAAAAATTTAAATGGCCACAGGCCGTATGAAATGAACTCACGGGCCGTGCATTCCCCAGCTGTGGTGCAAAGGAAATGACTGATAAAAGTATTTTTTCTAGCTGACCTCTGGCTTACCTTTGTCAGCCAAAGAATTTCCGGCTAGTTCCACACTAAAGTTTTCTTGCAGCTATGGCCTATTCCCAGAGCCTTGTGTGTCAGAAAATATGGACCTTCATCTGATCCTGTTATTGATGCACTTTAGATAAAGAATGAATGAAAGCTTTGTTCTGGATATGCAAATAGAGCTCCTTATGAGAAAGTGAATTGCCCCGGTCCTCTGAAGGAATAGAATAGCACTTTGTATTTGGATATCTCTATTAAAGAAGCTGTTTTCTTTCTATACAATAGTATGGGTGTGCTTGGGGTCATATTTGTGAGAGGGTTGTGGAGCACTCAGTCTTGCAATAGCAGGTATTTGGACACCCTGCAGCCTAATGGCATTCAGAAACCTGTCTGCTGTGGTGGCTCAATGTTCATCTGATACTTGAGAAATAGACTCAGAAAGGTGGAAAGCTGAGTACAGATATACTGAGGTAGACAGAAAATGTAAAGAGGAACAGGACCTAAACAGCATTCTCAGTGAGATTATAGACTCAATACTAGGCAAAAGGACTTAACTAAAGAAAGAGTCATGTTTATGTTTGTCTTTCTTACTGGTTTTCAATTAAAAGAAACAGAAGTGCTGCCCCACTCTTGTTGTCTTTGGGCAGAACATGTGAGATTGAGAGTAAGGTTCAAAACGTGAAGAGAACACTTATTCCTTTTTATATACAGCATTAACTCTCTTGTGCTACTCAGCTGCTTTGACAAAGGCCTAAAATCCCTCTTTGGCCTGAGATGAGGGAAAGGGACTGATCTCACTGGCAGAGTGATCATCATCTGTTATGTTGGGGATTGTGTCCTGCCCCGAGATGCTGTATTACTGTGCAAAAGTGGTGAGGCGGAAAACAAGAGGAGCAAGTCTGGGTTCACCACCAACAAGCCACTCAGCTGAATGGGACTGACTAGGTTCTGGTAGTACTTTCAATGAAGAAAAATGTTTCTCTGTTTCTGTGTTTCGTTCTGTTTCTATGTTATCCTCAGTTACTACCCAATTTGGTCACTCTGCTGGCAGATAGGAGATGTATTTTCACTCCTTCAAGATCACAAAGGAATTCACTTTCTGACATGCAGGTTATGCACAGGGACATAAAGACTGGCATGAGTGAGTCATGCCCAGTTTTTGAAAGAAGTTGGAAGGAAGGTTGCTTACATTCAGAACAGGAACCTTGGAGGAGTGGATTCCAGAACCACTTGCAGTTCCATAGCTCTGCAGAGGAGGGAGATTTCAAGCACTCCCCACTTTCCAGTTTTTTTTTACTAGATGTGTTACACATATTTTCTGTCTGTTGAGTTGCATACAGACAGCATGTAATCTAGTCATAAGGAGAACCTGAGCACGGTTTGCAAATTTCAGTGGCTTTTTGATGTTTGATTTAGTTAACTCTAATGGGAAAAACACTGGAATTCTCCTTACAAACATAGCTCATAAATGATCATTAGAATACAGGCTAATGGGAGCTGCAAATGTCTGCAGCTATGTCCCTCTGCCAGTGTGAAGTTTGCTGTTGTAGAGATGGCCAGTATACACTCTGTAAACCATTAATTTAAAGTCTTGAGATATAGTGTGAGCTGGGACTACAGTACACTAAAATGCATTATCCTACTGGAACTTTCCCTAAAATTAAAACTCTGCAAACACATACAAGTCTGTTTCCTTAGTTTATTAGTACAAACAATGCATACACAAGACTGTATATTGTTTGAAGACTGCAATAGATTTCTAATTTAACAACTCTGTAACAAAATTTAACTAAATTTGACATTTATGAAAATATAAATCTCTGATTCAGTAGGTTTTCCCAACAATACAAAGTTTACATAAAAACATTCAATATGATCTATTAGTTGCAAACAAGTTAGGAAAAATCATTCAAGTCACTTTAATATACTATATTGGCTTGTACATAGAACATTCACACACTACATTAAGTTCCAGCTTAGCATTCGTTTGTTGAAAATCTGTGGCATGAAGTTCTCTTTTTAAAAATAAAATTGTTTTGTTTAAACCATTTGAAAAAATTTTCCTCAGATGTGCCATCTTTAAGAAGGAGGGAAATATCTTCTTATGCTTTCAGATGATATCCAGCATATCTTTCACTTGGACGAAATGGATTTTTTTTTTTAAACATTTGTCATTATTTCACAATTTCTGCCTTGAAACTGATAAAACTGTACAAAAGGCTCAGAACAGTTCTAAAGCAGAAAGTGAACCTTGTAGGTAAGAAAAAAACATTACAAATTGGAACCATAAAGAACCTTTGGGCAGCATTTGCATTTGGTGGAGAATTAGCACATATACAAGCGGTCCCAGAGTGTTTGGTCATCTGATCTGTGTTTAACATGGGAAAGAACAGAAATGATAGTAAGGCAAATGTTTTTAAGATTAAAACATGGCATATCTGAAAACTTTCTGTTGAGTACTTTGGGAACATAGGAGATACTTTAGACTTTCTTACATCAAAATGGATAGCCATATTTTAACATAAAGAAATTCACAAGTTTAATTGTTTATCTGCATTGCCCTTTGTCTTTGAAAAAGTTTTCTTAATGACCTATACTAACATACACTATGACAACATATAACTTCCTCAAACCAAAAACAAAAACCCAACTCTATATTCCTTTTATGATCTAGGTTTAATATCTTTTTTGTTGTTTATCACAATACAGAAACCTGAAATCCCTGCATGCAGTTAAAAAAAAAATAAAATCTTGTAGTCCTTTCATTGAGGTGAACAAGTATTTATCACCTCACACATTGTCACATTTGCAGCTGACCTGTACCTACTCTTTTCAACCCCCAAATCAATCCCAATTAAAAAAAAAAAAAAAAAAAAAAAAAGAGTATTTTTAAAATGATGATGGAATGTATCAAGTGTTCCAGGTTGGCAGGTGACATCTTGTCATTGCACCATCAAGCAAGAAAAATACAGTTTTGCAAGTGGATATAAAGTTGGCTGTTGGCTATAGATTCAGCTCTGACCACTTATAGGCGACTTAGTTTATTATAAACAGTGGTCTGCCTCTTCTTTCTGTTCACATGGAACTTTAGCTCTAGTTAAAGCAGTTTGTCATTTGCAGATAAGATCAGCCAACCTCTGTAATAGCATAACAATTTTGAAAGTATTGCTAGAAATTGTTAATCAAGGCTCTGGTGAAATCTTGTACTGAACCTTGTATTCCGAAATTAAAAAAAAACCCTGCAGCCCATTGCTTAAACATTTGCTTCATGTTCCCTCCCCCCCCAATTTTTTTTTTTTGTGTGTGTGTTTTTGTGTACGTAAGTGTAAGAATATTTGTGAAGGAAAAAATAGCTGGTCTGCCCTCTGCTGTTAATGTCTTCCAAGAAATGCACTGATTTTTACTTGAATTCAGAAGACAAATCGATGCATGAATACTATTACTCAGGTAAACTAGTCAGGACAGATGCTCAGTTGTCAGTAGCAAAACTATGTCCTCTGCAGTCTATGGCTGAGCACACCTTTTCATAGCAATAGTTGTGTTTTTTGGTTGGTGTTGCTTCACTCACCTCAGGCTCTATAACTGTAATGGGGCTATCCCTGGCGAACACTTCAGTTGATTCCCTCCATATGCAGTCTGCAGTCACTTTGAAGCTATAATTGTGACATTTTGGTCTAATCACTTGTGTCGTGTTGTTGAAAATCTGACGGCTGTTTGAAGTAGCAATTTTGATTTTCAGTGCTGCGTCGACTCGATCCACTACAGTGTAAGTGCCTATACTTCCATCATCAAATCCAATAATAATATTTAAATGTCTCTGTGAGAGTGTAAGGAAAGTGGGAGTCTTATAAAGAGAACAGGCACCGATGTTTTTGCCATCCGCTAGCCTCATTACAATTAAACTAGAGATTGCACCATTGTCATCATCTTCATTGAGAAAACAGATGTACACAAGATAGCGGCCATCACGAGACAGCCTTTGCCTCCAGATAACACCTGGAGCGTGAACCACACGAAGTTTTCCACTGTGTAGATCAAGCACATTAATGTTTTCATCACCACGGGTTATAATTCCTAGCTTGCCGTTTGGGGACATCTCAAAGTCTTCCAAATTTTTCAAGAAATTGGTAGGCAGTTGTACACGTCTGCAGATGACTTCCTCTGTTAAGCTCCAGATGTTCACAGTTTCAGTAGATGTTATAAATACTATAATATCTGGGCAGTCTGGTATCAGTTTGACATCTACAATGCTTGCACCATCATCACAGCAAAACTTCTTGGTTATACTGCCTGTCCAGAGACTCACTGCCAACACTTTATTCTTTGCCATTCCAACCACAAATGTATTTGCAGTTGTTATAAATGCATTCTGTAAGGCAACTAAAATATTGCAAACCCTATGTCCTGTGGCCAGTCGCCAAACTCTGGATGCATTTTGCTCACAGAGGGAGACTACAAACTGATCATTATGAGTTATCATTAGCTCTGAGATTTTTTGCCCATTAATGCGAAAGATGTTTTCCCCACTAACAGTGTGCCATACATACTGGCTGCATTTATCATCTGATGTAACCATTATTTCTCCAGAAGTGGTCAGCACACAGTTTTCAACAGTACCTTCGTGCTTGAATATAGCTTCAATATATCCAGTGCTGAAGTTCCACTTGTGGACAGAATCTGATCCATCCAATGTGTATATTAATTCACCTCTGGCTGGCAACACCAGCCTTTGGATAGGTTTGCCAGATTTGTCAATATTGGACATAGCAGTTATGATGTCTATATCCCAAATAGAAAGGACACCACTGGTGGATAAAGATAGCAGCATGTTATGATGATTTGATTTAATTAGCCTGACTATAGTTCCTGAGATTTCCTGTAAGCTTGCCATACACTGTCCCGTATCTCTTCTCCAAACGAAAATGGCTGAGGTATTTTCCATTGAAGCAATTATACAGTTGCCATTTTTGGACAACACAGCAGATATAAAGTGCTCATTGTGTTTAGCTCTAAACTTTTCAGCTACCTTCCACACATGAGTGTCAAGGAGCTCAATGCTGAGAGCCTTACAAATTAAAATTGCACTTTGGTCTTCAGAAAGCTCTATGCTGACAACCTCACTGTCATCTCTCCTGCAATCGAAGTCATCTGTAAGCTGGGGATTTGTGATCTCCTCTGTACTCCAAACAGAGAGGCTGCCTTCACTGTCCACCATCACCATTTCTTGGGCCTTGTCCAGAATGAGAAGGAATTTCACAAATCCACCAGAAAATTCAGAGGTCACGGTGGCCAGCTTTTCTCCACTGCCTAAGTGAAAAATGGTTGTTGTGTTCAGATACTGTCCACAGAAGGCATAAACTCCATCCGGAGAACACTGCACACATGTTACCTCATACCAGCAGTGGAAATGATAGAGAGGCCAGCCATAAAGAAGGTCTATTACAGTGACATCTTTGCTGGCTTCCAGCCACGCGAGTGCATGGTTGACTGATAATGTAAACCCATTTATAAAACTGGAGCCCCCCCCCTAATCCACAATGTTTTGACCCCTTAATTTCCATTTCAGATAAAAGACAGGAATTTATGTTATCATATATCAAAAGAGTGTTGTTTGTTGTAGCTACTACAAGATACCTTTCATCACTAGTAAGTTTCATCCCTATGATAACAGATGGAGAGGTTGTAATCTGCCTCAATAGCTGGCGAGTTTCTACATCCCAAGTGCTGATGGAACCATTTTCCAAAGCAGCGATGATTGTACTGGGATTAAAAGTAGGCAGAATTTCAGTGACATGCATGCAGCTGGAAGACAGTGGCAGGCGCTCGGGGCTGTAAGTCACATCCATGGAGGAATGCAAGGGGACGATAGAGCAGTACTTGGGCCCGTCCTTGTCGCATTCTAAGAGGAGGTGTCTGAGTTTAGGCAGTGAACTTACTACTGGCAGAAGCCTCTGTTGCAACTCAGCAGAGAGTGAGCCTGGGTATTTTACTACTTTGAACTTGATACTGCGGAGAGTACTGGCCAGGAATTTCAGTTCCTTTTCCTGCGAATAGGTGTAAGCCAGTTCTATGTCTGAAAGTGCTTTATCAAACTGCCCTATTCTAATCATGGTGTACAGCCAGCTGAAGTTCATAATGACTCCATACAGCAGATCATCTGTTCTTCCACATCTTGTCAAGTGATGAATAAGCTCTGTCATTTTTCTATGATTGATAAAAAAGATGTCAGGCTCTAAGGGATTACACTGAAAAACCCATGGCTGATCAGGCGCCTGCCTGTCAAAAGCAATCTGATCCATGCAGTGCTTTTCTTCCTCATTCAAGCCTCTGCTATCACGGGCAGGGCAACTGTTCAAATATTGGTCATTGCTGTAAAAAGGTTTTCTTCGTCCACCTGACCAAACACCAAGAAAATATTCCGCCATGATCGTGTGCATTTCCTGCAAATCTTCTTCATTGTTCAGATACAATTTCTGGGCAATTAGGTGCAAGTGTCTATTTGCCCAAAGAAGAAGGGTAACGTTTTTCACTTGTCGCTCTATTAAGTATCCCTGCAAACCCTCCTTAAGTCTTGCAATGTATACGTAAGGAATTCTCAGTGGGTTACCATCTCGGATGCTCTCACTTACTTCATACATAACGCTGTTGTCAAGGGCCAAGATATCTTCCAGTTCCATTTCACTCAGGCCAGATTTGGACATAGTGATGTAACCAAGTGCTCTTGACAGTAGTCGTGATCCACATTTACTTTCCAGTGACCAAAACAGCTGCTCTATGCTTTCATGTACAGTGATACAGAGGGAGGACTCATCCACGTCTTTGTGAGATCTCCAGTTCTTGACCTCTCTGAAGGTTAAGTTCACAAACATGGGCAGTGTACACTTGGAGAATGCTTCATTGACATAGATTTGTTGCCCTGATGTTACTTTTCTTTTAACTCGCAGCAGCTGATGTTTCAGTACTTGGCTACACATCTTTCTGTCCCTTGCAGTCAATTCAATGTAGTTGTCTTCTTCGTGAATAAGGCACCTCAGTTTTTGCAGTATCCCATGCTTGTTTGGCAGTGTTGACAAAATTATCCGTACTGAACGGGGAAGGTGAATAGGAAGCCACCAAAGCTTCCTAGCGTCATCACTATCTGTTAGCTGTTCTAGGGCATCAAATATTATCACCAATGGTCTGTGGAATGAGGACTCATTCAAGAGATTTATGAACAAATCCCGGAGGTCATGAATCTTTTTAGGGTAACTTTGCACGAGGCAACGATAGTTGACTGCTAATTGTTCACAAATGCTTTGAAGTATATTCTTCAGATCTATGCTTGTTTCAGTGGATCCCAAAAATCTTATAATTACCACAGGGTCAGAATCAGGTCCCATTTCTTCTTGCAGCCAGGAATAGGCCTGGAATACAGAGCATTATTTAGTTAGCATCTAAACAAAGCACAGTAAGAGAGTTTATAAACAGTAATAGCCTATATGTAAATAAACATTTCTAAATGTGACTGGTTGAATGTAAATGCTCTCACTAGTAGAGCCTGAGGCTGCTTTTGATTTCTGTGCACTGGATGAAATTTTCATCTTATGTCATTTTCATGGCTAATATCCTAAAACACTAAGGCCCGGATCTATAAGAGGTTTAAATCTACAAGGACCTGAGCAGAATTTAGTCCATAAATCCCAGGGTACTTTTTGCAAAATCCATGTCTCACTTCTAGAAATCTACAGGTAGACTTCCTTAGACACTAAGTGATGTCATCTTTGGCAAGGCAAACCAGTTTGGCACCTAACCTTGTTTAATATTAATTCCCAGCTAAGATTAAACACATACCCTGGCAATTTTGTTAGACAGGGATGGGAACATAGTATTGAACTTTCTCAGCTGGTTATTTTAATTCTTAGGCCAATGACGTACATTCTCTCTCGGTGTGCCTATGGCTCTTTTATGCTGCCACAATGAGTAAACAGGTTAGCTAACTATAAGCAAGTGAGGAATGTGGCTCTAAATCCTCTCAGTCTGTGCAGGCTAACTAGCTCAGTTCTCTCATCTGCTAATTCTTTTCACTTCACTTGAAGTTATTACAGAATATTTTAAGAAAAAAAAAACATAACCAAAGCCTCTGGGTGAACTTAAGTATTGAAATGAGATTTTGAGCTGCAAATCCCTATTTTTCATAGACAACAAATGTGAATCTATAGGAAGTCACATTTGAGAAAGGTAGGATTTTAAGCATTATTGTTTCTCTGTCTATTTCCTTCTGGTTGATATGGCTGTTTCCCAAGCTACTGTGCCAAATTATCTGGGCAACCTCTAGGGAACTCAAAATTGTGATTTTCACCTAGACTATTAGGCTTAGAGATGCCAGCTTGGTTTTTTTTTGTTCTGTTTCATTTTGTTTTTTTTTTTTTTTCTTCTGTGTCTGGTCCTGCGTTGCAGTGTTTCCCCTCATGTATGTCCCTGTAGTACTCAGCTCTGTGGCTGAAGAAGCTTGTCAGACAAAAAAATGTATTTTTGCTGATTATTACAGATAGTTATAGCTAGTGTATCAGACTAATTCTGGAGTAATTTCTGATGAGGATGTTAAACAAGACAGCATACCTTAGAAAAACATGTTGTATTTGTGAATAAGATTAAAAACAGCATATGATGTTTAGATGATTCTAGGTTCATAGAACGTTAGTGGAACAAAAGGGGAGGAGATCATTCTAAAATACACGTTTTTAACTCTACCTGCCTTTTGAAAGCTCAAATAAGGCTTTTTTAATTCACTTGGGTATATGATATAGGCATGTTGTTATTAAACGGCAGTCCTTTCCTGAACACATATACAATAATATGCTATATGTGAGTTTTATAATCTTTATTTTACTAAGCTGGCCTTTATGCACTAATGATCCTGGCATCACCACTCTATGTAAGGTATTTATTTACCTTCTTTGCCACTTCGGCTAATAAAAGAGTTTTCCCTGTGCATGGTCCTCCGTATATGATAAGAGGGTTAATGTGTCCTATTTTGCTAGGTAGAACATACTTGTGAACTATGTTTAATGCCTCACATCTGTATTCATAAAAAGTGGAGTATGTTTTACATAGTGATGAATGTTGAAGAACTTCATCATACAGCAAGTCTGTCTCGGTGTCAAAATTCTGCTGCACTGTTGCCTGGATTATATCGATCATGTCTTCATAGAACTGTTTACCAAGTCCTTCAATGTAATGATTCTCCACTTCTTGGGAGTACCCCAGTTTCATGTCACAGTGAGTGACAGAGGTGTACACTCTCAGATTGGAGGATGCAACGATGGTAGGAATGAATTCATCCCTGAGCTTGATCAGTTTCTCATGAGCTTCGGGATCTCGTAGAAACTTCCCAGCTGTATGTACCACATCCATGTATTTTCCCATCTCTGGAATTTTAACAAAACGCTCAATGTTGGCAATTTTCCGAATGTAGCAAACACACTTCTTTAGGAAAGCTGGTGTTTGTTTACCCAAGGCAAAGTCAAGTTCATCTTCAATAGCTGAGGATGAAAAGAGAACACAGAGTCTCTGTTATCTTTTCTTTTTAAACTGTTTAGGATCCTGCCCTCTTCCACCCTCTCCCCCCGCCAACATGCAGACACTTTAATGATCACATCTGTTTTCTGTAAGAAGCAGAAAAAGCACAGAAAAAAGTTGCTGGGTACTTTCATAAAGGCTTCAGTCTCAAGCAAGCATAATGAGCATTTTTTTCACCTCAATCATGTGAGAAATGCCAACAGAAATATATTTTCATGTTTGTGGAAAGGTTGGTAGAAAAGACAATAAATGAACATACAGAAATAGCCTGAACTTTACCAGAGGAAAGATATCTCTTTGCTTGGCTGTGTTTCATTTTTCCTTTTTCATACAGCAATTTCACAGCAGTCTTAAAAATCTTCTTTATTTCTTCTGATATATCTTGCCATTTGTTCTCATTCATAGAGTTTGAAGAAGGTTCCATCTTTAAAAAATATCCAGAGTTAAACAATAGGCTATAATACACACATCTAAAACTTCAGAAAGTAAAGATCTACTGTTGAAGGTCATAAATAATATGGTAACAGAGAAACACATCTGCTAAAAATAAGTGAACAAGTTCACCTTTTTATACTGTAGATAATCATGATGTATATTCCACTTTAGAATAATAAAAGTTATCTACTTTTGAATATTTTCTGAATTCCTCCTGTAGGCAGCTGACGAAATGTTCTTCAAGAATAAGACCTTTGTCTGTAAAGTGTTTTGAGGTGCAAGCCTGAAATAATGATATTACAGAAGCAGTAATATTTCTAAAAACTATCTTTCCTATTAATGACAAGTATTAATAATAATAATTAAAGCTTGGATTTCAAAATTGAAAATGAGTTTCCTAGTACCTAATTTTAAGAACTTCATATTTGAAAAAATATGGGATTTTATCTGACATTACTTTAGTCCATACATTGCTATAGTAACAGTGATCTTAGTGCCACTGATGAGGGCCTGTGAGATAAATTCATTAATCCCTTTAGAGGTATCTGTCAGATTCTGTTTCTGTAACACAGCTGGCAGTTGCTGCTGTGTTACTGTAGGTGACATGTTCAAGGGGTGCCTTGTTTTCCTGGAAGAAGGAGAGTACAACAGGAAAAAGAGTGGCCCTGAGGTCAGTGTTCCTTAGCAACTTTCTTGACATGTTCAGAACAGTTTGTCTTTTATTACTTTCACTGAGTTTATGTGACGTAACCCTGTGTTAGCTTTAAGTTACAAACATCCTTCGGTGTCTCACTAGCTTGAAGAAAGGTTAGAACATTGAATAACAAATAAAAGTTGAGCATTATTCTAAAGGATATTGCAGTAAATATGCAATATGTAGCTAAATAATACTGAATTCGACCCACTAAACATTTCTGTGTTAATGTTTTTTAATGTGGGAGGGTAGAATTGAGCCCTGGGTAACACATAATTTTTATTGTCACCAATTAACGACAAATGCATGTTTTAAAAATTATAATTAATGGTGTTGGAAAATCTTCCATTAGAATGCAGTTATTAAGTTCAAAGTGGGGGAGGTGCCGAGGGATTGCATTAGGCACTTGTGTCACTCACTCTTGCAGAACTTTTTCCCCTGACAGAGAGGAATTTTTGAAGGAGGTGAATGCGACTTACTGTATTCTGGAAGCTCTTCAGCATTTCAGATTTCGGCCTGAGATAATATGCTGGCGGCACTGCGTTCTCATCTCTGCAGTACCACTCTTCTATAATTCTGGTCTCTAGCTTGGCCTCCACAGCAGCATCCAGGATCATTTCAAATTCAGCTGACTCCACTTCCCCTGGGATGCGGATGTTCCCATACTTCTCTCCCAGTAGGCCCTGTGTATTGGCGGGAAATAGGGCTTACATTTTTCTCCTTAGTGACGTGAACACCCTCCACAGGATCTGAATTTCCTAAACATCAGTACTGTAATAGTTTCACAACTTTGAAATTAACAGAAAGGGAAACACACACAATGTAAGATGAATTATATTGAGATTATTGTGTTGAGCTCCATTCTACTATGATCACCTGGTAGATTTTCAAGCAGATACACTAACCTTCTTTACATTAACTGCTAATAAAAATACAAGGGCACAACAATACAAACCCTCACATGAGGTTGGGTTCACCTCACATGAACATTATTAAAAATGCAGCTTCTTCTAGAAATACCAGGATTGATGTTGAAGAACCCCCAGTTACTTTGCTGTCTTGTATTCCCATGCTGCAAAAAAATGTTCACTCTCTTTGCCTCAGCAGCTGTCCAGGGAATGCACAGTGGAGAAAGATGAAATAGTTTTGACCAATACCAAAACCCACTTTATTACTTAAGTGCATGTATTTGGTATAAATGTAAAGATTTGTGGAAGTCAGTTCACAGATAGTGTTACCTTCAAAACTGAAGCTAAAATATTGGTTATAATGCCAAGAATACATTCTCTAAAACTTAGTTTTGCAGTTTTCTGCATATAAATATTAAATAAAAAAGGGTTGAGAAAAACTTTTTGGAAGATAAAGCTGTAGGACATTTCTGCATTCTTTCTGCAAAATTGTGGCATATTTTTGACCCTGTGATTTATTCTGCATTCAAATGTTGGCCCACAGCAGTCTGCGAGAATTCTCACTTTGTTTAAAATATAATTTCATTTTTTATTTCTTTTGCCATTTAAATACATTCAGTAAAGATTCTGAATTAATAAAAAGAAACACTTAATGTGGAGAGGAACCAACAGTATCAGCATCTTGATTTGAATCAGAAAGGTCTCTTAGCAAAGTAATGCTAATGCAAATAAAGTACTACCCTAAAAATGTAAATGACCTTGTTGGTAAATAATAAAAATCTAAATAATTGTTATTTTTAAACCACTCATCATAATGAGAAACTGTTCTAAACTTTTTCAGCTTCAACTAAATCCTGCACATCAATAACGGATTATGATGCAGCTTCACTGATTTTAGAAGTGTGATGCTGCTGACAGCCTTCTCTGAATCCAGCTATGTTGGCAGAAGGTACTCAAGCAGCTCAGCCTGCTAGTTGCTGTAGCCTCTGATCAGAGACATCGGAGCACTTAATGAAAACACTTCCTAACCTGTTTCAGACAAAATGTGACCACAGCCATATTTTCTAACCTGACTGACTTTTGCCTGGGGCAGAGTAGGGAGAGCACATGTGAAGTGCAGTGCTAGCTCTAATGGCAAATGGTAGGCCTGACAGCCCTGTAATTCTGGAATTCTGAAAATGCAGAGGTTAAACATAGTATAATGTTATTTTCTTCTTACCACATGAGGTTAATTGCTCTACAGTGCCATACTTGTACATTCACAGTGATGTAGAAATCTCATAAATTTCTCTTAGTGAATCTTTGCTATGCAGATTTTTAAATTACCTTAAATAGCAATTAATGAGGCTACACTTTTTCTAAATTTAAGTTCAATGGAATGTCCAAGCAAAGCTCAATAGTTGGGCCATTCATTAGCAGTATTAAAAATTCTTGTTTTATTGCACTGCATTTAATCAACTAATTTTTTTTGTTTTTTTCTTCTCTGGTACAGTTCATGCTGTTCTCTTTCCACTGTATGAGAGGTGAGTAAAGAAAAGCACTACCTTAAAATTTAAACACAGATCTTTTTTCTTATCTGTTATTGCAACAGACATTATATAAGCAATCCTTTATTAGAGATCATCTTCCTAACCACTTGAGCAAAAAATAATGGAAGGGAATTTCAACATGAACAGAATAGAATTATAGAATCCTTAGAGTTGGAAGGGATCTTTAAAGGTCATGTTGTTCAGCTCCTCTGCAATGAACAAGGACATCTTCGATCAGGTTGTTCAGATCCTGATCCAGCCTGGCCTTGAAATTCTGCAGGGATGGGGCATCCACCACATGCTGGGCAACCTGTTCCTGTACCTTACCACCCTCACTGTAAAAGACTTTTTCCTTATGTCCAAATGAAAACATTTCTCCTTGTTCTATCACCACATGCCCTGCTAGAGAGTCTGTCCCCTTCTTTCTTGTGGCTCTGCTTTAGACACTGGCTCCCTGGAGCCTTCCCTTCTCCAGGCTGAACAGCCCCAGCTCTCTCATCCTGTCCTTGCAAGGGAGGTGCTCAATCCCTTGGATCATTTTTGTGGTCCTTTGGATGCACTCCAACAGGTCCGTGTCTCTCCTGTACTGAGGACTGCTCATGTGGACACAGTACTCCAGGTGAGGCCTCACCAGTGCAGAGTAGGGGGCAGGATCAAATCCCTCACCCTGCTGGCCATGGTTCTTTTGATGCAACCCAGGATATGGTTGGCTTTCTGGTCTGCAAGGGCACATTGCTGACTCATGCCCAGCTTACCATCCATCAGTACCCTCAAGTCCTATAATATTAGAATCACTGTAGATGATTTTGTCATGTGCTTTTAAATAAAATGGAGGCCTATGCAAACATTATTTGAAAGACATTACATTTTCTAATTGAATGGTCTTCTGTAATTGTGCTTGCTGCATGACTGGAAATCACAGGTGGGATTTTCATAGAAGTCCTTGATGAGCTGCATGAATTAGTCACACTCAGAGCACACCTCAGAAGCTTTGCATTCTACTGAGAGAATGATGAGCGTGCCAAGCTCCTGGGGAACAGTTCTTCCCTTAAGCATATTTTGCTGGATGTATAGTATGCTTTTCACCAAAAGTGATCACTGGTTAAAAACAAACAAACAAACAAACAAAAACATAACTAAGACTACGTGTGTTTCCTGGAATCTTAACAAAATTTTTTTTGTTATGCTACATGATAGCCTTTGAATTGATGCATTGCATGCACAGGCTATGAGAACAGCATCTTCCATTCTTGCATATGGGAGTAGCTTGGAAGGCTTGGAAGTATCTCATTCTAGGCAGTTTCCAAGGAAAAGACATCTGCTCTCTACTTTTCTGGATTTATAATCTGTTAGTACAAATATATTGTGCCAGGGTTCCACAAAAACATCCAAAACTTTAGATACCTAAACTTAGAATGGCACATGCTCCTCCAGGGACTTCAGTGTCCAAGATGCAACTACGCTAGAGGCAGGCAGCAGCCTCTGGAAGTGTCTGTCCCTCTCTCATTATTCACTATACATTTAAGTAGGAAAACCAGAACAACAGAATTTAAAGAAAATAAAGTTTCTCACAATCTTCATGTTTCATCACGCTAAATGAAAATAAGAATATTGCCATTTATGCTCTTTATGAAAAATAACACAACACTCTGCTAATAACCTAAAACTTCAATTTGCGATAACGACATTGGGACAATTTGATGATTATTACAGGAAATTATTTTTTAAAAGCAAGTGTGATGTTTACACTATATTCAGTACTAGGAAACATTGTTATATGCAGACTTGTGAATCTAAATTTCCTACCCAATAAGTCATTTTCGTTTAATTGTAAAATAACAAATTAAAAATTCATTAGATTGAAGATGATTGAACTGTTTAAAGCCACCAGACTGGTAAATGTATAAAACCCTCAGGAACTAATTTTATCAGAGAGAACTTCATAGAATTGACAACAGAACAACCTCAGCAGTAGTCTTGTTAGCTATGTTGTGCCTGAGGCTGAAGTTAAAGGAAAATTATTAGAGGCAAATTAAAGAATTACTGTTTAAGTCCATATGGAAAATATTTTCCTTCTACTCTGGGTGTGGGAAGATATTAAAATTGTAGATACAATCACAGTAATGACCAGAAGGAGAAAACTAACAAGATTTGAATTCTTGCCAACAGAGAAAGCTGCAGGTTCATTGAAAATACAGATATGTAGCTGGTGAATGACCAGATCCAATGATCTTCTGCTGGGCTTCATGGAATCATAGAATTGCTTATGTTGTAGGGGATCTTAAAGATCATTTAGTTTCAACCCTCTATCGTGGGCAGTGTTGCCAGCCACTAGATCAGGCTGCCCAGGATCCCATCCAACCTAGCCTTGAATGTCTCCAGGAATTGGGCATCCACAACATCTCTGGGCCGCTTGTTCCAGCACCTCACCAATCTCTGTAAAAATTTTCTTCCTAACATGTAACCTGAATCTACCCTCTTTTAGGTTAAAGCCAATCCTCCTTGTCCTATCACTATCAAACTGTGTAAAAAGTTGATCCTTGTCTGGCTTGTAAGTTCTCTTCAAGTACTGCAAGACCACAATGAGATCTCCCTAGAGATCTTCTCCAAGGTAAACAAGCCCAACTACCTCAAACTTCCTTTACAGGAAAGGTGCTCCATCCCTGTGATCTTCTTTGAAGCCCTCCTCTAAACCCTTTCCAATAGCTTTACATCATTCTTGTACTGGGGGCCCCAGGCTTGGACACAGTATTCCAAAGGGGGCCTTGCAAGGGCATAGTAGAGTGGGACAATCACTTCCCTCTCCCTGATGGCCATTCCTCTTCTGGTGCAGCCCAGGATACTATTGGCCTTCTGGTCTGGAAGAGCATGCCGCTGTCTCATGTCCAGCTTTTTGACCATCAGGATTCCCAGTACCTTCTCCACAAGACTGCTCTCAATGAATTCTTCACCTAGTCTGTACTCATATCTGGGATTGCCTCCACTCCCAAAACCTTGCACCTGGCTTTGTTAAATCTCATTAGGTTCTAATGTACCCACTTCTCAAATATGTCCAGGTCCCTCTGGATGCCATCTCTCCCTTCTACTGTCAACTGCATCATTCAGTTTGGTGTCATTAGCAAACTTGCTGAGAGTATACCCAATCCCATTGTCTATGTCATTGATAAAGACATTGAAGAGCACCAGGCCTAAGACAGACCCCTGGGGACATTTCTTGTGACGTGCCTCTACTTGGACTTAGAGCCA